CTGCAGTCAAGTGTCTGAAACATCCATAAAAACAGGAGACGGCTTTCCTCATCTTCAGCCCAGCTCACGTTCTCCACTGCCCTCTTCATCCGGCTCCACGTAATTACCAGTACAGAGTACATTCGTTGCACCTTTCTCAGCTGAGACTCTTGAGGTCTGCACCCAGATATGAACACTGGTTACTAGAGATGTTCATCCCTCCTCTCTCTTAAGGTTCTGCTACTAGCCCTGCTGCTTATAGTTTCCAGAGATGTTTGGCCTTTTTGCCCACTGCTGGATGGAATCTTCTCTTTTGTTATCATCTCCCTTATACAAATCCCCCAAGGTGCTCTAGCTGGGAAGGCCAACTGTCTACCAGCATAGCAAACATTAGCACTTCTACAAGCAGTTTGTAGCAAGAGCCCTGGACAAGCAACTGGACAATTCCAAGGAAAAGACTGCACAAAACCTAAAGGAATATTTCCGCCAATGGTCCAATATTACTATTAATACTAATAAGTGGCTAATATTTTAGAGCCTTACTCTCTGTTCATGAGGATCATCAAATTGAATTCTCACAACTTTCAACCTATTTAAAGACTAGACAGTTTGCATCTTCAGATGCTTTCCCAGTAAAAGTGGAGTAGAGCTGGGATTAGAATCCAAGTCTTTGCCAAGTGGTGTTAGATGCCCTTAATCCTAGCACTTGGGAGGCAGAAGCAGGCAGATCTCTGTGAATTTGAGGCTACGCCTCCTACAGAGAGTTTCAGGACAGCAAAGGCTACACAAAGAGAGACTGCCTTAAAACACACACACACACACACACACACACACACACACACACACACACACACACACACACTAAAAACAATAGCAACAAAAAAGATTCCGAGTTTGGTGGTCCAAAATTCAAGTCCTATGCTATTCTTTTCTCCAGCAGGGTGCTTCTCCGGGAGCACAGTAAGTTGCCAGGATAAACTAGCCGCAGAATGAGCTCCGAGAGTATAGTGAATTCATCCATGGGACACCGCTGCTTAGAGTTCTCCATCTGGTTGTCAGAGTGCATTTGCCAGGACTCAAGAACAACAATGCCGCTTTGGGCATAATTAATGTTTAGATAATATGGGTCAGCATGTTCAGTTGCTTCTTGAGGTCACTCCTGGAGTATGAAAAAAGAGCCATGTATTGCTGTAAACAGGATGTTTGTTTTCTTTGCAGTCTATCAGGAGGTTATTATCTCAGTCATGTAAAAGTCATACAAAACTGCTCAGGTACAGATTCCAAAAGAGGGAGGCTATGGGCTGGACCTAGTTTTATGCAACCTGAAATATAAAACTGACAGATCTGAAATCCATTTCTACTCAATATGATTTTTGATGTAGTATCTTAAAGTCCTAGAAGAACATTTTAAAAGTCCTAGGTCTGTTCCTATTTATGGAGTCAAAAGCTGACACCATCAGTGAATCAATACCTAGTCATTATGGCCCTACTACTTGGCCTCCCACATCCCTCTCCTGCCTTTGACCATGATGGATGATTTATAGACAAGCAGGTCTCTTTACTCAAGTTGTTCATATTATGCCTCAGGGGACTTTCAGAGTATACACACACACACACACACACACACACACACACATGCGGAATTTCTTTTCTGTTTTTTAAATATTCATTAGATTTATTTTACCATTTTAAAAAGGTGTTGCCTCGGGCTGGAGAGATGGCTCAGTGGTTAAGAGCACTGACTGCTCTTCTAGAGGTCCTGAGTTCAATTCCCATGGTGGCTCACAACCATCTGTAATGGGTTCTGATGCCCTCTTCTGGTGTGTCTGAAGACAGGGACAGTGTACTCACATACATAAAATAAATAAGTAAATCTTTAAAAAAAATAAAAAGGTGTTGCCTCTAGGTCGTCCTGGCCAGATATAGAACACTCCATGATACAGGCAGCTATGGCAATATGCTACAAGAGACAGCCATCATAGACCGGTTTTCATTCCAGGTGTAATGAAGCATAGTAAGAGTGACTTCCTTATTTAAACTAAAAACATTGATAATATATAAATTGTTTTCCCATTTGATGAAAAGGGCTATAAAATCTCAAACACTGGTAAAGCAGTGTAGTGATGTAGGTAATACCTCTGATGCCTGTTTCTTTTTACTTCCTCTGCTATATGCTCAGCTATACAAGTTTTCTAGATTTCACCATGACTCTAATGCTGGCCTACTCTAAGTGACTGAAACCAAGTGGTTTGGATAAGCTGACATTGATTCCTGTGTGATCTTAAAACCAGAGAGAAATGGAAACGGGAACCAGAGGATCATTGTGAGTTAATGTGAAATAAGAGATCACACACAGTTTCTTCTTTTTAGATAGGGTCTCACTATATGGCCCTAGCTGGACAAGAATTTACTATGTATCCCAGGCTGGCCTGGAACTCAAATAGATCCTCCTGCCTCAATCCAGAGTGCTAGGTCTAAAGGTGTGCACTACCATGTCTGACTCATACATTTTTGTATTTAACAAGTTTCTTGGATGATGCAGCCATGAAGTTGATGTTTTGATAATTTAAATAATAACAATAGAAAGTATCTCAGGAAGTATTTATAGAAGATGTAAATATACAGGAGCTATATAGGTATGTGTGTGTGTGTGTGTGTGTGTGTGTGTGTACAGATTCTTTAGACTCATGTGCATGTGTGTTGTCAAAGTGTACTTACAGATAAGGTTTTATTTTATTTATTTATTTATTTATTTAAAATAATGAACAACAATGGGCCAGGTACTATTCATTAGAAAATGAAATAGCCACACCAGCCATGGTTGTGCATCCCTATAATCCCAACATTTGAAAGGTTGAGGCAAGAAGGTCTCAAGTTAAGGGCAGTTTGAGCTATACAGTGAGTCTTCACCTAAAAAATACTGCCTGTACAATTATAGGCAGTGTGCAATTCTTGATAATGATAAGAAACAACTATCTCACTGGCTTAAGTAGTTATACTATATTATACTTTTTTGTGTGTTTGCGATAAAGTTTTGTTATGTATCCCAGGTTGGCCTCAAATTCATCATCCTCCTACCTCAGCCTCTCTAATGCTGGGATTATAGGCATGTACCACCAAACTCTGGTTATACTATATTTTCTATTGCTAATTTAGAGTATGCATACTTACCCAAATAGCTTACTGTAAAACATTATTCAATCTTACATGGGCAGCAGCCCTGTGCATCTTGTGTTTACTGTGTCTCATGGTTGTACCAGGGCAACATCTAGCTTTTGACCTGTATCATCTAAGTTTGAATAAATGCATGCTTCAGTATTTGCAGTTATGAAATAAACTAGCAATGAGCTTCTGAGAACTTAATCATGTTTTAAGTGACATATTACTATCATTGACACAATAATTGTGTGTATTTATTAGGTACAATTTGATGTTTTGATCTATATATAGAAATCAATAATTATATACACATAACATATCGATCACCTTACTGATTTAACTTTTTTGTTTGTCCAAGAGTGGTTAGTCTGTTTTAGCAATTTTAAAGTAGACCAAGCTTTATCATAAGTGGTCACCATGCAATGTATTAAATTACTAAAACTTATTCCTCTAGTCTGACAAGTTACATCTTCTGATCAAGAGTACCAAGGCCAAAGGAATCTTTCCATAAATGACTTTCTTTTGCCTTTGAAGGCAGAGCCAGCAATTTTGATGATGACTTGGATATTAGATGTGTCAAGAAGCCATGAAGGGTTGTTTTCTGGAGATGCTGACCAAGGCAGTTGGCTAAACTTACTCTGTGGCCATATTTGGCCCAAGATATAGAACATGATTTAGTTCCAGATTGGAGAATTGACTATGTGTACATCATGCTTCAAAGGGAAAAAAAATCTCATTGCAAGAGTCAGTGAGGGCAGCTCTGACCATTTCAGCAAGCTACTCAGCAGGTCATATTAAACAAACATAGTACTTATAGTGACCTTTCTTCCTGGCACACAGGGAACATTAATTAGTAAACTTGCCTTGGCCAACCAAAACATAGGCGAGTAAGTATGATTTTTGCTTAGTTCATTTTAAAATACTTTTTAGTAAATCTTCAAGAAACAAAAACCTCATTTCTTTCTAAGGCAGGGGTAAAGGAAATTACTATTCCCACTTCAGGTTTTTAGAACCTGAGATCTGGAAAAGACCGAAAGTTATGGGAAGGTTGAACTCTGTTCAGTCAGATCATCTATTTTATAACTCTCACCTCTTCATTGTATAGTGTAGTGTGTAGTTACTGTATCCCTCTCCAGGGAATAGATACCCACCACACCCACCCCATCCTCCCATCCTCCCATCCTCCCATCCTCCCATCCTCCCATCCTCCCATCCTCTCATCCTCCCATCCTCTCTCTCTCTCTCTCTCTCTGTTCTAATTTAATAATTATGTGAAAAATTGGAATTGATATTGATTAGTCCAGCCTTGTACAGTGCAGGCCTCTTGGCTCCCCTCCTCTTTTTCCTTTGTCTCTTCATCTGGTTTCATCTGGTCATTTCATTTCTGAATAGTAACAGATACAAAAGGGTGAGCTAGAAGGATGAAAAATTAGGAAATTCACATTAGATAGTGTGCAGAATAATTTTGATAAAAGCCTCAAAAAAGAATGCAGCTATAGTTAACAGTAAAACAAAACTCTGAATTCCTAGTGCATTTAGGTTTGCTTTCCCCTCCTCATCCTTTGTTCCTATAAAAAACCAAGTGTGGCCAGGCAGTGGTGGTGCACAGCTTTAATACCAGCACTTGGCAGGAGGATTTCTGAGTTCGAGGCCAGCTTGGTCTACAAAGTGAGTTCCAGGACAGCCAGGGCTATACAGAAAAACCCTGTCTCGAAAAACCAAAGGAAAAAACCTCTAAAAACAAAAACAAGTTCAGTGATGCCAAGCACCTACTGTACCTGTGCTCCCTCTATCTTGCTGAAGAAGCCAAGTCTACCACAGAGTGGGTGGCAGCAGTATTTAATATGTTTGCCTGTTTTCAGTTTGCAGTGATGACCTTACTCACAAATTCAAAGGTTTTACTGTGATGAATGAGGCAGAGAGATATGAAGCTCTCAGACACTGTCGCTATGTGGACGAAGTCATCAGAGATGCACCATGGACTCTTACTCCAGAGTTTCTGGAAAAACACAAGGTACTTCTCTTTCTTGCATGTTTTCTCTGTAACAGGATTAGGGACTCTGGCTCTGTAGCTGAGATTGCAGGGATACTAAAGACTCTTCCAGTTTCTAAAAGGGGAAGTTTTAGGGGCAAACATGTGGCATCACTTGATGGAACAGTCTCTTTTGCCCAAAAGTAAGGACTGATGTCTTCTCCTTGCCTGGAGTGCAGGTACTGGAGATGGTCTAGCAAGGACCAAATGCTGCCTCTCTCTTCCTCTAACTAGAAAGCCATCAACAAGATTCTTAACCACACTGAACTCAAGTTACTTCATCTATAAAATTGGATGACACTGCTGTCCCCCTTGTGGGACCATTGTAGGACCGTTTAAAGGAGCTAATGAAAGAATCTAAGTAAAAACCTTGAAAAACTGGCTGCCCTGTGGTAAGAGCTCCAAGGTTGTCATTGTTATTACTGTCACCAGCACCATTGTTGGTGCTCACAGACTCACAGGCATCCTTAGGCATGAAACAAATGAATGCACATATTATCTGGAAGGTCAGGGGTAAGGCTTTAAGGAAAGAACTTTCTATCTCTGATTTTGTGACTCTGAAATTCCTACTGACATAAGATTTTTATTAGTTGAAAACATGAGACATTCTTTTGATCTGCATCAAATTATGTTCTTTGTATCTCCCTACCAGCCCCACACTCAGAGCTATTCTTTCCTTTTATAAGCAGTACAAAAAAATAAGATTAAGCTGTTCTAAGAATTTTCTTTTCTATTTTTAAATTCGCAATGCAGAAGAGAATAGCGAATACTGATAAATGTGCATGGGTAATAGCAGAGGAGACAATTTCCTGGTGAGAATGAAAAGAAAAGAGAAAAAAACTACAATATGATTTACTACCAGTAATCACACTTTTTTACTTAGCATATATTGTATATTCAACACATGACAGGCAGTTTAGAGGATACTAATAATGACAATGATGAATGCCATTTATTATTTACCATATGCCCAGCACTGTGCTAAGGCATTATATAATTTGCTATTATATAAAATGAGTTCAGTGTCATGGCTACCCTGGGTTATTATTGTGCATTTAAGAGGGGGGACTAAGTTGGAATGTGGAGGCTAGAATTAATAACAACAGTAAAATATGTACTGAGTACTTACTATGTACTAATTTCTATTTTTAAGCACTGCTGCATATCATTTAATACAGCAATTCTCCCTTGAATTTTCACCCCAAAGGGCAATGTCTGGAAACATTTTGGTTGTCCTAGCTAGGGGCTGCCACTGACATCTAGTGGGGGGAGGTATGAGGTGCTGTTCAGTGTCTTCCAATGTGCAGGACACCTATACACACACAGCCCCAAATGATCTAGCTCTTAGTGTCACCAGTACTGAGGTTGAGAAATCCAGCTAATGAGTTTTGTAACTTATAAGTGGTAGGTTGGAATGATACTCTGGTAAATTAAACTACTCATCTAAGCCAGCTCCTGAGATGGACTAAAATCTCAGTGTGCAAGATGTGTTTACCTGGTGTCATAGGAAACAGGGGTGACACTTAGCAGGCATGTAGATTAGAAGAAAATTGTTCAAGAAGTCACATTAGTTACTTGTCTCATTGTTGTGACAAAACACCTCACCAAAGCAGCTTGAGGAAAGAAGGAAGAGTTTATTTTGTATGTTCCAGGGATATAGCCCTGATAATGAGTGTGTGGAAGCAGAAACAAGAGGCAGCTGATCACACGGCATCCAGAGTCAGGAAGCTGAGAACAGTGAAAACCTGTGCTCAGCTCACTTTCTCCTTTTGGTCCAGGGGCCAAGCCCATAGCATGGTGCCACCCATATTCAGGGTGGGTCTTCCCACTCAATTAACCTAACCTAAAGAATCACTGTACCCCCTCCCCACCCCAGACACGCCCCAGTGACATGTTCCCATGATGAGTCTAAATCTCATCCCGTTGACAATAAAGATTGACCATTCCAGAAGGACGGCCCACCTGACAGCAGGATAACTTGGAGAGGAAGTTCCGATGAGGTCGATGTTATAACCTAGATGACAGGGCTTTCTTCTCTGAGGCTGACTTCGAAGGGCTTTTGCAAGTAGTCACAGCTGTTCTGATGCAGATGGTTAGTGGCTGTTATGCCCAGAGGCCAGCCTTCTACAACTGCTTTATTTTAAAAGGTGGTGGGGTGGAGAGGGGAGGACTTATCAGTCCCTCTCAAATCTGTAACCCTGCCCACATGCCAGTGCTAATGTCCTTTGTCTCCTTCAATAGATTGACTTTGTGGCTCATGATGACATTCCATACTCCTCTGCCGGTTCCGATGATGTTTATAAGCATATCAAGGAAGCAGGTGAGGCATTCTCCTGTCCACAACACACAGCCCAGTATAAAAGCTAGCTGCTCTTGGCCTGTAGCATGTGTGGATGGACTGTTGGAATATCCAGTATCACCCAAGCAGCCAGGTCTGTATCATCCTCTGCAAGAGAGCTCCCCTAGAACTCAGGAGAACTGGGTAAGAACCAGGGGCCTGACACTTTTCAGTCCTAACCTTGCTTATAAGGAATTCAAGGAGAAGAAATCCCACATGTTTCCAACTTAGAAAGCTGCAGAGAAGCTGAGAAACACTGTAGGGGAGAAGAAAAGCCATGGTTGGTGCATGCATTACATCGTAATGGGTTACAGCATGGTGAGGAATACCTTCTTAAGGTCTGAGCCATATGCCAACACTTCCTTCCCTAAAAACAGCAGCAGAGAGGTTGCTTTGGGATTAATATCTACCTAAGAGACCCCAGCGTTAACTGAATTTCTGCTTAAGAATTCCTTAGCTACCCTGGGCATATATCTGGTAGTAGTTTTCTTACTGGGTTAGTCTCTAGTAAAGGACTAATAATATGACTCCCAAGGTGGTTACTTTAAAAAGGATGATTTTGTTCAAGATTTTTCTGGGGCAGGGTCTTAATAGAGGGCTTGACTGAGTGCTTCTTTTATCCTTTGTGGGTTTTTTGTTTTGTTTTTGAGTGTTTGTTTGTTTGTTTCTTTTTATAATAGACTCTTGCTCTGTAGCTCTGACTAGCCTAGAAATCACTATGTACATTTGGCTAGCCTAGAACTCACAGAGATGACCTGTCCTTGCTTCCCAAGAGTTGAGGTTCAAGGACATAATCCACTATGCCTATCTTTTGTTTTGTTTCTAGTGTAGTACTAGGGATTTAAATCTAGCGCTTCCCATAGGCATTCTACCATGGGTTGAGAGTTTTTGCTTGACTCTTCCAAATTGTTATATCAAGATGCTGATAGGAACAACAGTCCTCTGAAGGCTTGGGGCTCTGTTTTTATATACTTAGTGGCCAGCTTTGGATGTTAGCTGTTAACCAGGAGCTCAGGGGTATTTGTCACTGGACATCAATACATTGTCTCCATGTTGCCTGGGCTTCTAACAGCATGAAGGCTGAGAGAATAATAATATAGGAAAATATCTCTTAGAAGAGACCCACAGGGGCTGGAGAGATATCTCAGTGGTTAAGAGCACTGACTGTCTAAAGATCAAGCAAATTTAACAGTTGCCATAAGGATTCCTGTGGCCTAACCTTGGAAGTCACACACCATCATTTATATGGCCATTTAAGTATGAGCAAGTCACTGAGGAGGCCAATTCAGGGGCAAGGGCGTTGTGGTTCTTTCTCCTCTCCTCTCCTCTCCTCTCCTCTCCTCTTCTCTCTCCTCCTCTCTCCTCCTCTCTCTCTCTCTCTCTCTCTCTCTCTCTCTCTCTGTCTCTCTGAAGATTTATTTATTTTATGTATATGAGTATACTATAGCTGTCTTCAGACACACCAGAAGAGGGCATCAGATCCCATTACAGATGGTTGTGAGCCAGCCACTATGTGGTTGCTGGGAATTGAACTCAGGACCTCTGGAAGAGTAGTCAGTGCTCTTAATCGCTGAGCTATCTCTCCAGCCCCTGTGGGTCTCTTTTAAGAGTTATTTTCCTATATTATTATTTTGTGCATATGTGTACCTATTTCTAAAATATAGGGTTTTTTATGTATCCATTGAGAGTGTCATACATGTATACAATATAACTGGATCGTGGCCAACCCAAATTACCTCTATGGCCTTTGAAAGCCACTCCCCCGCCCCGTACTCTCACTTTCTATCTTCATGTCCTCTTCTTCTTTTAAAAAATATAACCAATCCACTGAGTCCAATTAGTGCTACCTATGGGACCATGCAATGAGACATGGGCAACTTTACTAGTGTGACCCTTCACCACAATTCACTTTCTAAAATCAAGGGTCAGGTGGCATTTTGTTTTCCCTGGAAGTGCAGGCCTAAGACTAAGGTATGTGACTTCTTTTGCACAGAGATCCTTCCTTATGGTCCATGAATGCCTCACTAGGAGGAAGGGTCACTGTAAAGATCTAGTTGGAATGCATATAGAGTAGGCCATAGAGTGGTCCCCATGGAAGAATTTCAGAAACGATCTGAGTGCCCATGTGCATCTTTTATACTCTATGGTTTAGTTGGATAGTCAAAAACTCACTTTAAATGAAGCAAGCAATATCATGAGTATAAATTAAGCTGCACAACCTTGTGCTCTGTTTGTCAGAACCAAGTGTCAAAATCCTCTAGCAAAGCTAGATGGAGAGATGGGGCTGAGATGCAATCGACTGTAAGGCCCATGTTACTCATTATCATTCCAATAGTGCCTACTACTGTTGAAAGTTGCTTTATTAACATGTGCTTTGCTGCTTCTTAAAATAGCTCCATAACCAAACGCTGCAATTCTGAAAAGCATGATAAAAAAGGTTCTCTGATCATGCTCATTACTGAATATTTTTAGCAGAGCAATAATTAGGATTTGGAGGAAGCTGGGTGCCTCATTATGTCAGCAGAGGGCTTGGCTTCTTTCGGAGACCTACCTCTCAAGCAGCCAAAGCAAATCCCCAAATCTGCTTTCTGTTACTCAGCCACAGAGACCTAAGTCTCTGATTTTAGACAGGGCAAGCTCATGTGCCCTGTGTCTAAGTGACTTGCTAAAAGCTATTAGTAACTAAAGAACCTTCACATTTCATCAATCCCAAAAAGTCTTCAACTGTTCCAATTAAGGTGAGTGTGCTGTCCCAGATCTGCTATCTTGGGCTCTTCCAGGGACCCACTACCTACCAAGGCCCTGCTCCCATGCTTGGTCCAGTTGGAATTCTCTTTTTATCCATGTGTGCTTGCACTTTCTGCCTTCCATTTAGTTTTTTCTGTGTTTGGTTTCACCCTTCTAGAAGATGATCAAAGAAGTTTCAGACCTAGTGGCCAACCCCAACTCTGTCTTCAGAGCATGGATTGGAGTCAGGTGTTCTGTCTCTAAGATCAGCAGTACCACCCTGCTGCTGATACTGTGAATGTGCACGTGACACATTTTTAAAGGTCCCAAAGGGACACTTTGGAGCAGCAAAAGAAACATTCAGGGAGCCTTGGATCTAGAAGAGTGCCCAGCATCAGTATTCATCTTGTCATTCATTTAGCAAATATTCTGATAGTGCCTGCCTGTCACCTGGTGCTTAGACTATTGAAGAAAACAAGAAGGGTATGGCTTCGTCCCTCATACAAATCATAGGCTAGAAGAAAGACGGTTGCTTATGGAAGTGTTCCATGAAAGACCTTGCAGTGTTTGAGAGAACAGAGCAGTGGGGCTGACAAATAGAAACACCTGTCTTGAGAGTTGAGACTTAATTTCCTTGACACTAAACCTGACCAAGAAATTAAGCAGAGACTGTGACAGACAGAGAGGAGGAGAGCCAACAGTTTTAAGATCAGTGAAGAAGCCCCGTGTTGCTAAATACAGGCCCACCTTCATAGACTATAAGAGAACCAATTCCAGGCCTTGTACAGTACACGAGCCTTGGCTGAGAGAGTTAAGAGGAGAGGCTGGGAGATGAGCCTAAGACTAGAAGGAAGCTCTGAAAGGGGATTATTCTGCAAGCTGTGGCAAAGGCAAGGTAAAGCCTATACTCTAAACACAGTAGAAAGCCAATGAAGAGGAATGAGCAGGTGTAGGACTTGCATTTAGAAGGATGACTCTGTGGGTCTTGCTGTGTATGTTGAAATGGACAAAAATGATATCACTGGAGCTAGAGAGATGGCTCAGTGGTTAAGAGTGCATACTGCTCTTGCACAGGACCTGAGTTTGGTTAGTAGCATCCATGCCAGTCAGTTCATAACTGCTTGTAATTCCTAATTCCAGGCCCAGAAGTCTGATACCTTCTTTTGCCCTCCCTGGGTAGCTCTTGATGCAATCTTTGAATAAGATGGGTTAGGTTTGGCTAAAGATGGAGAAAAGAGGTTGAATTAGCGAAGCATTTGAGGAGTGGGTTTATTATTATACATTGATTGGATATAGACAGTTGGGGGTATAAAAGCAGCCCAAATGAGCCCAGATCACCTTGTCTAGCTACCTTCTTAGTTGAGGGAAACCAAGGTCAAGTTGCTTGCCTTCAGAGGTTTGAGTGACTTGCCGTAAACCGAGAACGCAGTGCCCTTTGGCTTTCCTGTTGCTGTTGCTACAGGACATCTCTACATGGTTGGAATGATATGGTCTACAAAGATCTCAATTGCCAATACATGATTTTCATCGACAGCAGAATTTTGAGCATGAAACAGTTCTTACTGATTTGGCATCTGTGACCCCTTTTCTAGCCTGTGCTGCTGGTAAACTCCAAATGTCTTTGAAGACTTTAAGGACGTCTAACAGGACCATTGGAAGTTGGCATCGTTGTGCTTGTTTATTTTTCCTCTTTCTCACATATTCCAGATGAAAGTGGTGAAACCCCCCCCCCATGCAGAGTAGACTGTTCTTAGAGGAGGTCGAATCGCTTAGCACATCGCACACATACCCTTAGATAGAGACAACAAAGGCGCCATTCTCCTCCTTTTCCTGTGGGGATAATGGGACAAAGACTTCCAGAGGGATGAGGAGCCGTGATCTGACTCATTCATTGACTCAGTTATTATCCATCCACTTGTGCACTTCCTTTGCTTTCATTCAGCACCTTCCATGTGTACTGATCGGGACACTAGCGATGCAAAAACGATTAAGGCATTCAAAATGTCCATTTCTATTTTTTTTAAAGAAACAAAATTTTAAAAACCCACATGAACAATGTCTATTTCTGTGCAGAGACAGGTATCAGACATTTTTGTTGTTGTTGTTAACTGAAGATCCCTTTACATCCAGAATGCTGTGGGTTCTCCTGCTAACATCAGAAAAGACTTCACAAAGGTACAGCCTTGAAGGTGGACTAATGAGGTTGAGGGAGAACTCTGTGGATGATGGGGTCAGGAAATGGGTACCCAGGACAGGAAGGAAGAGCTGAGCATTGGCAAATGTAAGGAGCCGGGTGAGTGGATGGTGTCTCCTGGGCCTAACCTGGGATGATGACTACACAGTGTTATGGTAAAGGAAGTGTACTGTGATTAGAAGAGGCAGCTGAGGCCAGAAAAACAAAGTCTCCCTGACCTACCCTGAAGCTCCAGTATTGTCCAGTAAAAAAGGACCATTAAAAGAAGTAGACAAACTGATGCAATTTTACTTTAATCTTTTTATTCTTACTTGGGCAGGCATGTTTGTTCCAACACAAAGAACAGAAGGCATCTCAACATCAGACATCATTACCAGAATTGTCCGTGACTATGATGTGTACGCCCGGCGTAATCTCCAGAGAGGGTACACAGCCAAGGAGCTGAATGTCAGCTTTATAAACGTGAGCATGCCTCCCCATGTACTCTGGGGCCCACCATATTACACTACCATGACTTTTGTTTACTGTGTGCTGTGCAATGTGCTTAGGGCCTTTCATTGTTGTGTCATTGAATCCATATTTTAAAAAAAAAAACAGTGGTGTGCTTTATTTTGTGAGAGAAGTTCTCACTGTATTGCCCAGAATGGACTCAAAAAGCATGACCCACCTGCTTCAGCTTCCCAAGTGCTGGGTTTCCAGGCATGCACCAACATGCCTGTACCAGAAACGAGCACTATATTAACAAATGAGGAAACAGTGTCCAAAGGGATAACATGAGTCAGCCAGGGAGCATAGGCTGCTTCACATTTTATAATGGAGCTTCCTCACTTCCCTCCCCTGCCCCTAAATTCCTTCTTTAGTTTTCAGATGTGGCAAAGGGTTTCTGGAACATCTGCCCCTTGGGGAAAGGCAAGTGTTGTCTTCTTCTCAAAGGAAAGGAAGGCAAGCGGAAGCAATGAGATGCTAAGCCCAGAGAAAATGCTTTCTTGTTTTAACGTTTTTACAATTTTCATTTTATTAGGGCCTTACAGATGCTCATTAGAAACCTTAACAGCCGTTTTTTATTGTCCAGAGAAATTACAGCTGCTTAAATAAAGCCTGAAGCCTTTGGCTTCCTTTTGTATTTCTACCTTATTGTTCCCACAGAGCTGCTGTTAGTTTAATAATAGAGCACTGTTAAAACAATCTTTAAAACAAGCAAAACAAGCTGTTACAAGGCAAAGAGAGTAGCCGGATGGTTGGGGGTGATGTTAGTGAGTCTGGACAACTGGGGTTACCAGGCTTCCAAGGAGCCCATGATTTTGATCCAAACAAACAGTCTCTATGCATACAGAATTCCAGCCCCCAAATAGATACTGTATTTTCAAAGGAGGATTTGTCTGCAAAAGTAGGCATTTATAATTATGTGCAGCTTTAATTATCTAGCATCTTTCACAACTGATCATTGGTACCTTCAAAATAGGAGGGGCTCATTAATTGTAAGTCAGTGACTATTCATTGTCCTGATAAAGCAGGGAGTGTTGGGATTCAGGCCCCTATAGCTTTGTACAAGCCAGGCAACAAAATGGAAAATGCCGGGTTCGAGTGGCACCCGAACATGTGGCTGCAAAGAATTCAGCCAACGTGATGATTTGGTATCTTAGAGAGAATAAAGCCCTGGTTATTTCAATAAATTAAACTGTCTGTTCTTTTAAATTGAATTCAGTCAACCATCCAAGCATAGCAAGCCATTTCCAAAAGTTATTGCTCACTCTCTTTAAATGGTCTTTAGATAAGCCACTTAGCTCAGGGAACCGTGAGGACAGTGGGGGTGTGCTTGCTGCCTTTCTCCGACAACAAGCCTGGCTGCAGCTCAGAGAGGAAATTGAATGTGTTGGATGGGCGTGTAAATGAATCACAGAACCTCAGAAGTGGCAGAGACCTGATGAGGACCAGTCATCCAATCCATGTCCCTTGACTTTGAGATAAGGAAAACGGAGTCCAGAGAGTAGACGAGGCCAAGGGAGGGTGGGGGAGAGGTGGAGGTGGCGGTACCCCTCTAAATCTCCAAGCCCAGTGCTCACTCTACTGTTAAGTGCTGTCACTGAGTACTAAACAAAATAGCCATTTCCGGTGTTGAACAAAATATCGAGGAGCATGATGTAAAGACAACAGCTAACACTTATCTAGAGCCAACGAGATACCCATCTAAGTGTTTTGACTGCAACATCTCATTTAATACTTGTGATAAACCTACTAGGGTGGGTGTGATGACACTATCCAACTTATAGGTGGGAAGACAGAAGCCTAGAACATTAACAGCTCACGTCAGACCACACTGCAAGTGTTAGAAGACAGAACTCATTCCTGTAGCACATATGTGTGCTTATACAGCTCAGTAGCAGCACATACAGCTCACAGCCAACCTCACACTAGGGTTGCAGTATGCTTTTGCAATGTCTAAATGAGGGGATCTTGACCTAGTTTTATAATATTTTAGGTATTTTACCAAATTCTAAAGTACAAAATGAGCTTGATTCTATATAGTAAAGAAAAAAATATCCCATGACTCCTTTAGAGAATGTATTGAGATTTCAAAGGGAAGACTCTAGTGTGATATTATTTTCATTGTTTAGATAATGTGTTTACCAGGTAATGCAGATAAATGTCTGTGGTGCTTTATAACCACATAATTAACACATGGGAAGCAAATGCCAGGCTTTGAGCCATACATTCAGATGCATGGCCTTACCTGATTGTCATAACAACCCTATATGGTAGCAATGATTATCATCCGCATGTTATTGATGAGAAAAGTGAGGCTTAGAGATGATTAGTGATTTGCCCAACACAATATGGCTTCCTGGAGCATAGATAGACAACACTATTATATAAGGTCTCTAATCACAAAGCCAGAAACTCAATCAAAATAAAACTTTCTTTATGTCCAAGGAAACCAATGCACTTTAATTACCCTCATGGAAAATATAACAATGACAATTTTAGCATGAGACATTGATCCTAAGCCTAGGTAGTGTACAACTTAATGTAAACTGTATTGGTTTTTAACACTACCTTAGTAAAACAAACTTCAGTCTCTGAGCAGCTATGCTGTACACAATGCATCCTTTGATCTAAGTTCCAGAAGAGTAGGGGGTATTTGCTCAATAAAAGGCAGCTTTGTATGTTTTGTATTCTGTTCTCATACAATTTCAACTCATAGATGTTGAACAGATTGAACATAGTTCAACATTTGTACTTCCATTTATATATCCAAGGATATTGATGTGCAAGACACATGCCTTCCTATCTCTAGCCCTCAAGAAATAATGACATCTTCACATTACGAGCAAACCCAAGTTGATATAAAATATAACCAATACAGACGAACCTCTCTGATGTCCTCCTGAATCAATTTCTTTCCTTTGTCAATTTTAACCAGGAGAAGAAGTACCGTTTCCAGAACCAGGTGGACAAGATGAAAGAAAAGGTCAAGAATGTGGAGGAAAGATCAAAGGAATTTGTTAACAGAGTAGAAGAAAAGAGTCATGACCTAATTCAAAAGTGGGAAGAAAAATCAAGAGAATTCATTGGCAACTTCCTGGAACTGTTTGGGCCAGATGGTGCATGGGTATGTAGTTATTTTAACTGCCACTGCAATGGCAGGTACTTTCAGCTTAAATTCCTTTCATAGACTCAAAGATGTCCCTTATGCCTCTGCTTGGACATCATCTCAAGTCACTCCAAGTCCATGTCCTTATTCAATTCCTGAATCATCCCTCAAATACTGATTTAGTATGGTACCAAATGGTACACAAAGTAAGGTTTTCTCTGTTTCTGTTTCCAGAACTTAGAAGTCATTCACTTACCTTTGAATGTCTGGTATTGCAGAAGTTGGTCTCATAATTCACCCTAGTCTTTAAGTTGGGGGTGATGCAAAGCTTAGGGTTAATGGTAAAGTAAGTCAATGTAACATGGAGCTTGTGTTGGAAGTCAAGTCCAAGGGTTTTTGCTTTTAATTTTTAATTTTTTATTTATTCTTCTCTCATATATTACATCCCAACTACAGCTCTCCCATCTCATCTTCTCCTCCCACTCCCTACCCCTCTTCTCCACCATCCACAGGCCTCCCAGGGCTATCAACCAAACATAGCAGATCAAGTTGCAATAAGGCTAGGCAACTCCTCTCACATTAAGCCTGGACAAGGACAAGGGTTTGGGGAGGTGTTGCATTATTTTTTTTTCCTAGAGAGACACAAACATGTACTCACCCCAGATAAGAGTGCCAGTGGCAGACCAAAGAAATGATGTCACTCAATTCTAGTTTAGGGAAATGATGAGTTTAGTCTTACAAAAGTGTGAGTGTGTGTGGGGTTACAAACAGGTGTGTGAATGACTTTAAAACATGTACACCAGCAGAAGTCTTGGCTCAGAATGGATGGCAACTTCCCTATAGCTGAATGGGTAGTGTTCCCTTAATTTTTTTTTTATTGGATATTTTATTTATTTACAATGCAGATGTCATTCCCTTTCCCCATTTCCCCTCTCTAGAACCCCTATTCCATCCCCCCCTCCTTTATGCTTTTATATCATTTTAATTACATGCAAGTATTAAGGTCAGTTCTAGGTTGAGGGTCTAGCAATATGATAGATGCAAATAGTCAAGGAACAAGCAATACAATAGACACAAATAGTCAAAAAAAAAGCAAGGCATTAAACCCAATTACATGAACACTACTGTGATCACTGTTTCTAAGGGCTTATCAGGATGACCAAAGTATCTGAGCCTACTTCCCTGTCCTAGCCCAAGATCATTTTCATGTCTGAAGCCTACTTCCTTGTTGTAGCCTAAAATTTAGATTCCTATCTGAAATCACCTCTTTGTTCTAGCCTAATATTTAGGTTCCTGCCTGAGATTCCTTCTTTGTTCTAGCCTAAGATTTAGATTCCTACTTGAAATTATTTCTTTGTTCTAGCCTAATGTCAGATTCCTGCCTGAAGCCTACTTCCTTGTCCTTGGCCAATGTCATATTCCTGCCAAACAGCCCATTTCCTTGTCCTTGGCTCATGTCAGCTTCTTGCCAAGCAGCCCCAAAGGCTCTCGGCCTCTCCCCCTTTTTTTATTTCATTAACAAGACTGAGCCTGTCTTAGGTCATTCTGACAAGAGTGCCTTCCTTACCCGTCATGGAATATGCATTATCTATACTCATCCTTGGCTTGCCAGCCTGTTAATTTAAAACTCTGTCTGGGGGTCCATTTTCAGGTTCAAGCCATGTACTTGGCTGCCAACATGTTGATGTTGTTGAAGAAAAGCTTTAACACAATGAGCAGGAATAAAGGTATTCCCAGAACAAAAAGGGATAGCATGATCAAGCTATATATGCCATTTTTGAAGCTTGACCAAAATAGAAATACTGACCTCAGGCCATGGGTAATTTTATCTGCAGTATCTACCGCATCAACACTCAGCAGAGCAGGATTCTTGAAATTCATAAGCTCCATATGTATCGTTAAAATATCCTGAGAGGTGTTAGAATTATGCCAAATACACTGCACGTGTCATTAAACTTCTTCCTAATTATAATGACTACCACTTTAAATTGTAGAACTAACATGAATCCAATGGTATTTGGCATGACACTCAGTTAGCCTTCCATGCTTTATAGACCACAGGCAGCTAGGGGCAGAATTCACATTGGCAGGGAGGTTCAGGAAGGAATGGCTGGAGTCTTGGATAAAGGACCAGTAACCCTCCCCTTGTTCTCATTCTATATATCAATGGATCTGCTCTTGAAGGGCTTCTGAGGACAATCATACCTGCTCTAATTAAGTAAGCAGTGAGTATTGTACTTGGGGGCACAATGCTTCACATCAGGAGAATGTGAAAGAATGGAGCTGCTCCACCACCTTGTGAGGAATTCTACCACTGGAGAGAAAGAGAAGCAGCATTTGTCTTGTAACTGTGCCAATCAAACCTTGATTTTTCTTTGGCATGTAGCTGTTGGTATAGGTTCCAAAAGTCTAAAGGGACTGAGACCATGAGCCAAGAAAGAAAAAGCATATATTTTTTTCCTCATCTAAATTCTTTAGACCACTGTGATTGATAACTATAGAAAAGGAAAAGAAAATTCTGGAAGCCTACAATGGTAGCTCTATTGTGCATGCCCTCCATAAATTAAGTAACCAGTGCTATTGGAAGAGTTGATGAGGGTTTTGTGACATAGATATCTTTAAGTTGACTTTTCTTTTTAAAAGAAATGCTATGTTTGTTTTCATATGTGTGTATACATGTGGGACATGGATGTCTGTGTGCAGAGACTAGAAGAAGATTTCATGTGTCCTTCTTTGTTGCCTTCCCACACACATATTCCTTTTAACCAGAGTTTCTTCCTGAACATGGTGCTCCTGTTTTCTTGGCTAAGATGGAATCCAGAAAGTCCCAGCAACCCTTCTGTCTTAACAGATAAGAGTGCTTGGTGCATAATCGTGAGGACCAGAGTTTGGATGGCAGTACCAGCAGAACAAGCCAGCCATTTTGTACACAGCTGCAACCCCACATTTAAGTGTGCAGAGATCAGACAGGTTGCTGGATATTTCTAGCTTCAAGCCAACTTTCTTTTTAAAACAAAGAGAAATTATTCCATTTGATTTCCTTAATCTTAAATAGCCAAGATTTTCTATTATGATATGAAAAGTCTCTAAGGAAATCCACTTCTACTTAATTATTTTATTGATGGGTTGTCACTACTGCCATTGCTCATTTGAGCTCATTCATTATAGGATTATCTAAAAGTAAAACAGTCAATTAGTATAGAAAAAGAAGACTGTTCAGAGAGTTGGAGGAGATGCTTTAAGCCTAGTGGCCTCTCATGTGTTATAGACAATGTTATAAGCCAGCCGTGTTCTATCTGCAGGATGAGTTTGAAAGGAAAGGGCTAATTGAGCCATTAAAGAACTTCCAGTGAGGACTGGTAAAAGAACAGAAACTGGACACTGGCTCATTTTCACTTTTTTTTGTTCATTTTCAGTTCAGATGATTTAATTCAATGGCCAATTTATTAGTGTTCTTGTCTATGCCCAACAGCATAGAAGAACACAAAGACAGTCAAAGTGAGCACCCTGTTCTCTGGTCTTCAGCATATAAAGTCTAGACTTGCCCTTTCGAGCCAGCGTATGCCTTACTACTTTGCATTTTCACAATTTTCCGGCTCTGAAGAAACGGCACATGGTTTTTAATGGAGCCATAGAGCAGCTCATTTGCTTAGCACGCTTCAGAAATGTGACCCTGCCAGAAACTCTGTGGGTGGATGTTTTCTCCCCCTGGAATGAGCAAAGGCAGGAAAAGAATATCATTTCACAGGAACTTTATCCTCCCAGTCTTCTCAGGCTCCCAGCAAAGGTGAAACAGTAGCTGGAATGGTTAAGGAGTCTGGTGACAGTGAGCAGAGGTGACTTTTTTAAGAAATGAAACCCAGCTTAGAGACTGGAGGTTTATCTTTTAAAAACTTGCTATTAGTGTCAAAACTGTTATTAACATTAATTTACTGTATCAGCCAGACTTAGACATTACTTTTTTTCTGTTGACATTAAAAGTACAGGAATAGTTACAAGGATGTTAAACGCCAAGATAAGTAATTTGCTTTTCATGAATATGCTATTATTATAATAATTCTTTATTTGTAGATTTGTGACTGGAACTCATTTCTTAAAACAGGGCATTACCTGCAAGTACAGTACTGATACACATAATCCAGACTTAGCAAGGCACAAAATAGAAAGATTTAATGTCCAAAATTTGCTACTGCAGGATTGGTATGCAGTTTTATATGTAGTGTACAGTAGGTATTCCACATAAATGTTTCTTCATTGAGTGAATGCATGAAGGAATGGATTATGAGGAATACCTATTTACAGACCTTCCTAAGACCTGGAAAGGCTATGGTGAGGCTTAAACTCTCCATATACAGTCTTCTTTTGTCTATGGCACTGGATACAGTTTAGTGTTTGGTGGATCAAATCCAATAAGCAGAACTTTACAATGCATTCCAAACCAGCCTGTGCTATGTGAGGTCCAGGTTAGTCCAGGCTACAGAGTGAGAACCTGTCTAGAAAAACAACCACAACAAAAATAGACTGACTTGGTTTTCTTGGTGTTTATATTTTGCCCTGAAGAGTCTGACTTGACTTGCTAGCTCCCCATGGCCATATTCTTTGCCCTGCTTCCTCTGGCTCCCTCAACCTGACTCACTTATTTATACTGCTGAGATGGGCCCAAGGAACATTTGAATTTGCTCCTCATCTATTATGGGAGAACACAACATAATGTTGTAAATAGCAGGAATAGGGCCCTAGGAGGCTATCTGCCACAATGACGTCTAAGAATTTGAAGTCGGCAACCTATGTATTTCTTAACTGCTATAATAGATTTTCCAGTTCCCACTTATTCAGTCTGAGTGGTGGGATATCAGGGCCTAAATTTAAAAAAACAAACAAAAAAACCAAAACAGAAAAAAAAAACCTCACATCACAGGGTTGGAGAGTTGGCTCAGCAGGTAAGAGCACTGACTGCTCTTCCAGAGGTCCTGAGTTCAATTCCCAGCAACCTCATGGTGGCTCACAACCGTCTGCAG